AGGCAGTCCTTGGTGCCCTCATCGGCCTAACGCTTACCTCGAAGATGTGAATTCGTTACTGTGTTGACCTAGAACCTGAGACCAAGATGCTGAATGCTACGATTCCCAACTTTGCAGCAGCACCGCACCGCATTCTCCCAAACATGACATTTCATGCTGGACCTGCTGTAGTGCTGGATCCTATTCCATGTGTTTTGAAGATTCTCTTCAATGAGTTTTGCCTGCCGGGCCCTTTGAACATCTAGACCATGCCCCTTCAAATTAACCCCCAGAACCTTCACAACTGTGCCAGACTGATCTTCTACCCAGCCATCAAGTCTTACGGTTGCCCTAGAGACTAAACTGGGTCCAACGTTCAGGGACCAAGCTGTTACCGCTCCAGTTTCCTTATGGTGTCCCGAAACCCTAGACCCTCAATCCTAAACCCTAAGCCCGGAACGAACGGTGCCTGCTTGCGCGCGATGCGCGTTCCTAAACCCCCATGCCCTAAAGCCTAAACCCTAAGCCAATAACCCTTCAATGCCAAATCCTAAGCCCTACACCCTAGCCTATAAACCCTAAACCCAAAGCCCTAAGCCCTAAGCTGCGTGTAGGGGGAGGGCACAAACCTTGGGCCATGACGTCGTAAACGCCTTAAGCCTGACCTTTTGATGGCGAGGTGCCGAGCCCTTTTGGTATTGCAGATACTTGAAGAAGTCTCGCAAGGCCCCAAAGGGATGGGTTTAGGGTTTAGGGAGTTGAGAGCTTCTTGTTAATTGGGGGAAGGAAGGTTGGAGACGATGCAGCTCTTCATTGAGGATGGCGTTTCGGGATAGCTTCACTTGAGGAGACCTTAATGTTTTCTGCATATAAGCTACAGTCTAAACTCCTTGAAGGGAGTTATATAGGGGATGGTATAGGGGAGTATTATAGAGCAATTAGGGGAATACTAGGAGTTGAGATCATAAGTGACTATAGTTCATAGAAGGACCCTTAAGCAGGGGCCACTCGTCTTCAGAAACGCTGAAAGCTTGTTACGGCAGAGTTAGTTGTTACACTTGTCAGCTGCCCGGGTTCTGAAAAGCCCGCTAAGCTGCATAGATGTGGCGTTGACATGCGGGCCGTTTTGAAAAGCGTGACCTGAGTCCTAAACTCTGGCTTTGGGCATTGGGTTGGGACCTAGCGTGAAGCGTTTCAGGGTTAGAAATGAGATGCAATGCAGCTGCTTGCTTCGTATTTCCTCGAAGCATTGACTCTCGCTTTGAGTCCCTCGTTTCTCGAGTTCTGACGCGTGATGATGCGTGGGGCACAGCACCAAAACAATATGATTTTTCTAAGCTTCCACACAAGCTCCCGCATGCCTGTGAAAGTTCTACAGGAAGGATGCAAAACACTTGCATCCATTGAGTCTGTTTTCTAGGGATTTTCTGGGGGGGGGTTGCAAAAACTTCTTGTTCCTCCTTTGGGGTTGTTCTCCTGGCTGTCCTCCTCTTTCTGTGGTACATAGAGATGGGACCCCGAATTGTTGAAAAGTATTAAGTTGTTTAGATCTCCCCTGCGGACTTACAACTAACATCAAAAAACTTACCATGCCCGAGTTACGGGCCCTCCTGCTGCCAGTGCCGAGACATCAAGAAGTACCGGTGGAACGAGAGCAGCGAGGCTCAAGGCGGAGCTTTGGCAGCGTAGAGTAGTCCCCTCCCTGATAGTAAACCCACCCCACCTCCCCTAGTATTAGATATTCCCAGTACACATATATATATATATATGCACTTTTTTGATATACCAGAATGGGAATGTTTTCTATTAGGGCAGGTGGCTTGATATTAGGGGGAGGGGATTACGCATCATTGTTGCGTCGCAAACTCCGCCATACTGGCAATGAAAGCTGTAGCAGCGCCCACCACAAAGTTAGTCTAAGTATTCAGAGAGGCACACGCATGTCAGGAGGATTTTCCAAACGACTTCCTAGCGCGGTGGCGGTATAAATTCAGCATCAGAACCGTGGGCCTCACTGGGTTTGGCCATTGGATAGTATTTCCAGCAAAAGCTTCCGATCTGACACGAGAAGCCATCAAGTACGAGGTTCTCAAAACTGGGGCCTCCTCGCGGAGGGGGGGAGTCTGTATGCGTGGTGACGATTGTTTAAGATTCTTGCGACCCATAGGGGCCCTTTCCTTGGATATGGGGTCCTCTTAAGTAGATGCCTTGAGTGCGCAGTTGCGCGGCTTCAGAAAAGAGCCTTTGGTTTCGAATATCATGAGACGCTAGCCAGAATGCCCTAAACCCCAAACTCTCTAAATCTTAAACTCCCTACAATCCCTGAACTATAAACTCCCTAAAATCCCTGAACCCTAAACTCCCTTCACCCAAAGCTGTACACGCTGAGCCTTCACCACCAGCCTTAACCTACGCTTGGACGGAAGGCAGCCGCGGGCTGGTGCGGGGCATTCGCTCCATGATGCACCTGTCCCACAAGAGTCTCTTGCGTGTTAGGGTTTAAGGGTTATATAAGGGTTATATAGAGGTTACATAGGGGTTATATAGGGAAAATGGGAAAGAAAATGGAAGCTACTATTCAGGGTTCAGGGTTTACGGTTTAGGTTGTTTAGTCTCTATGGTTAGAGGGAATCAGCGAGTAGACTCCCATATGTTCCCTAATATATTATATTCCCTTCTTCCAGGCTAAGCCCCAGTAAGTTTAGGGTCGGCGGTTCCGGCTTTGAAGGTTTTAGAGTCCTGGCGAGCTTGCGGAAGTTGTCAAAACTCCTAGGCCTGTCTGCCTATGAATGCCAATGACATATGGACTCCCTCTTCCCCTAATGTCAACCCCCCCTAAACGAGAGGTGTTCCCAACATCGCATCTTACTGTTACGTGGGGAAGATGCGTTATTAGGGGGTGGGAGTATTAGTATTGAGAGGGATGGCACCGTAAGCCCTACAGCCCTAAACCCCCCTAAAAACCCTACACCTACACCCTAAAGCCTTTAAACCCCACATTAAACCCCAAAAACCAGAAACCGTAATTCTCGGTGTTTGGGTTCAAATGTTGAGCCGACCTACCCATGTCACAGGTGAGGCTTGCGCCCAGGGGTGATGCGAAATCCGTATGGCGGTAGTCAAACTATGGTCCCCTCTTCGGGGTATCCCAGGGTTTAGGGACGCACGGGTTTGGGGGTATAGGGTTGCTGGGTTGGTGGGAACCCCAAAAAGAGGACCACAACCTTGACAACTGTAAGGGAAAGGAGATTCATCGTCAGCTCCGCAAGTTGAACGTCTCCTGGGTCCCTAGACCCCAAGACCCAATCATAAACCCGCGCATCGGTTCCTCCAGGCATGATTCGACCCTTTGGCTGACAATAACCACCCTAAAAGCAAACCTTTTTCCGGGTATGGCGATTTCCTATAAAGGTCCACTATCGGAATATTATCATCAGGGCGGTTGGGTTCAGTATGCAGGGAGTGGATTCGCTGCGTTGTTTCCTGCTGAGGGTAAAGACCGAGCTTTAGCTTTTTGGCTTCTGGCAAAGCACATAGGTGGTTGTCAAAATCATGGTCCCTTTTTGGGTACCCTAAATAATTAAGTGCCGTATTATAATAGGGACCCAAAAAGGGACCATAATTTTGACCACCACCCACATGTTGCAGCTCAGCTCGGCCCCAAAAGTAATCACCACCCTCGCCCCTCAGCCCCCAAGTCTATAGTCCCTCTTAAGTAGATAGAATAGGGCTTT